TTATTAGGGATTATAAGAAGATTCACCTAAATTTTCTTCCAATTTAGGTGATTCACAAAACAAAAATTTAGGGATTTTTTGTTTTGTCTCTCTTTTGTAACTTTTTAGATTATGAATTTGTGTTTTTTGAATGACAAGATTTGTTTGTTCGTTTCAGGAACATTGTTTCAACTGTGAACCTAGATTGTAAGCTCGACCTCAAAGCTAAAATCGTTTGGGGCTTGGTTGTTAGGTGTGATGTGACTGTATGGAATCGAACTAAGAGCAAATGTGATTCTCTCATTGGATTAGGAGCAAAGTAAGAGTTCCAGTGCTTCTTGGAAAGTATGATATGATTATTCTAAGTGAGGGTTTTTAGACTAATGTATAAGCAAAACCTCTGATTAAGAAAGTTTCTTTTTGTTTTGTAGGTACAAGTCTTCCCCTGAAGAAGTGACTGCGGCTTGCGATGTCACATTTGCGATGCTAGCAGATCCTGAAAGTGCAGTGCGTATGTTTCACTTTTGTTTGTTTCTTGTCTGCTTCTCTTCTTGCACTCTAGATTAATGCAGAAGATGTATTACAACAGATTGATGTTGCATGTGGAAAGAATGGAGCCGCATCTGGAATTAGTTCAGGAAAAGGGTACCCAATCTTTCACGTTGTATTTAAGCTTTGCCTCATTGTTTCTACTGAATGCTCTTCTAATGTTTCAAGATATATGCATTGTGTTATGTAACTACAGCGAGCTCACTGTGGTTTTCTTTTCTTTGAATCAATACTCATCATGGTTAAAATGGGACTTCCCCTGGTAATGCAGGTATGTTGATGTCTCAACCGTTGATGTTGCCTCATCGATTTTAATTAGCAAGTGTATAAAAGATGCCGGATCATCATTTTTGGAGGTAAAGGCTCTTTAAAATATAAGTTTGGAACCACTTAGAAAACTTGTAGGAGATGTAGCTTTAGTCGTCTCCTTTGATGTTCGTAGGCCCCAGTTTCGGGTTCCAAAAAGCCTGTCGAAGATGGGCTATTCCTCACAGCAGGTTAGTAATAGCTTACTCCTCACTGAGCGTGTATTTATAATCTATCATCAACTATTCAAGTGTACATATCAGATAATTTTTGCTTTTGAGTGTCTTGTATCATGGTTGAATAAAAATGAGATTTAAATCTATCTGGCACTTAACGTTTCAGGTGACAAGCCGCTATACGAAAAAGTTGCTCCTTTCTTAGACATCATGGGAAAGGTATCTCTTTTGTTTGTGTTATATGGTCCAATCATGGCTTAGATTCGATTGTTTCTTCTGTAAATAAACAATCATGGTATATTTTGATTTTTTATTAGTTTGTTATGATATTTAATTTATATGTAGATAACTCATAAAACCCATTTAATCAACATATTTTATATT